TGACCTTACAACAACAAGCCCACGCTCTCACAAACTAAGAACTGCCCTAACAGCATTCCGTACTGCACTCAATATACAGACAGCTACCACGAGAATGGCTGAGGAGGGAGAACGTCTCCTACAAGAATCAATCCTCGCCGAGAAGCAACAGACAGCCACCAATCACCGCAGAGTTCCTCAGGCAGATGGAACACTGAAAAAAAGTGGAAACTCTAATACTGTTGGAGCTCAGGTTCTAGAGCAAGGAAATATCCTTGTAAAACAAAAGAAACAGCAGGATGAGGAGGAAGAGGAGAAAAAAGTAAAAAAACAGCGGGCTCAGATACAGCAACCTGCTCCTACCTCTAGGCATATTGAACAGGCACATGGGAATTTTCAAAGTTGGGTTTGAAATTTGTTTTTTGGTTTTCTTGGGCATTTTTATATTTTTGTATAAAAAAACTTCACATCTTGTCATCTTAAGTAAATCCTCTGCGTAAATACTCAGAGTGTAATTGGAGATGTTTTCCTTAAAATCCAACCTGGAAGGGTTGATAGGTATTCTGTGCGCCCAGTGTCCCGACATACCTGCCGAAGCGACATACCCCCCGTTGCGACTCTAGTTCTTGCTTCGTTTGAGTGGAGGGGGGGTCAGTGGTGGTGGTGAGGTGCTTCTAGATCTTTGGTGTAGAAAATTAGCCTTCCTTCTCGCCACCCACCGCCATCAGCCTCCTTTGCCCGTCCCCCCAAACAAGCAACTCACGCCTCTCCACCTTCTCTCCCCTCCTCTTCTGGAAGTCCTGCTTCTCTTGCATTCCCCTTCCAAGGATCCCAAAGACCTCCCGTGATCACAACCCGATGAGAGTGATCTTCCAGACCTTGAGCGAATGAACAAGAAGGCTCCACCCCACCCACGTCACCTGCGCTCCTGAGAAAATAAATGAGTATCATAATAATATTATTATGATACAGTACTAAAAAACTGGCATATTTAGTCAAGTTAGGGCTATGCGCTCGAGCATGAAACTTGTCCGGCACTTTGTAAGTTGGGGCAGTTAGGGATCCAATACTCGTACCGACGCGATAAGCTTATCTGTTCCCCTGTGCGCGCCGTTGGAGCCGTCGACCTCTGAGAGAATTAAAAATTAAAAAATTAAAAAAGGGAGGGGGGGGGGTGTTCCCAATTTACAGCATCCTATTTTTCCCACTTTCCCATGCCGCGTCCACAACTGGAACTGGCCGTGCGTCGTAAAAACCGGAATCATTGAGAACGCCAGGACACTGGACGCTTGGGGTGTACCTATCCTAGTAACGAACGGTAAGGGCTGTCCCCTCCCTATTATTTGTTCTGGACCGAGGTCTGAAAGATATCAAGTAAATTTTATGAAAGAGAATCCTTTGGCCGTGTTTCAGCTTATCCCCCTTACGGTATTCCAACGGGAGAAATTCTGGACTTCCTAGCGGGGTTCTCAATTTTCAAGGCACGAACAAGCGCTCATCAGGGAGCAGTGAGCACTGAGCAGTGAGTGAGTGGGTATGATCGGATGGAGTGGTATGAAACGGACCGATGGCGAACAGGGATCGTTTGCAAGGAAATTCTTTGTTACCCTACTTTGAAGAAATCACTAGTCTCCATGAAGTATCTGTTCGCCACCGCCAAGTCTCGCCATTCCCCGGGTGGAGACCGCAGCGGTGGAGCACTCGGGTACCGGTATGTCAGCAAGAAACCGGGAGAATACTCCTGCTGATCCCATGCAAATCCCTATGGAGATTAAGGGTCATGTTTTTCCAAATTTTCATGGACATACCCGAGTATGATAGTCTACAGGTAGTCTACTGTATCCGAAGTGGGCTGCTGTAGGCTGCCGCTATGAGATTGATCATCCGGGAATTTCATGGTGCGCCAAGGACAAAGAAACACAAAAGAAAAACTCCGGAAACGAGATCTGGGAAATGGCGCTCACGATATCATACCGGCTACCGGTACCGGTATCCGAAAGGGGAGGGGTGTCGGGGCCGTCGGCTCTTGATGGTGATCAGGCTTGATGGTGATCAAGCGAGCTTGGGGAAAAGATGGCAAGGAAGGATTGTCGTTGGCCTGGTTTTCCCTGAAATGCTTCGCCCCCCCCCCCGTACTGTACGTACCAGCAGTGTAGGTATACTGGTAGTACTCGTACAAGTAAATGCTATCGAAACATTTGTACCATAGTAGGCAACCATCGAGAAGCACCCTAGCTTCCCCCCATGATCCCCCAAAGCCAAGATGAAGACCCACCCCGTCATCATGACTAGGCATCAACACCCACCACCCAAAACCGGAAAGGATCTACCACAGCCCCGCCCCACTGATCCCTGGCACCCAAAACCCCCAAAAAGCTGTCCGGTACAGCTGGTGATCCGGGGCAATGAGTCGGGTCTTGGCACAAAGGGGTCTGGAACCCACAGAGGTTCATACGGGGTATCAGGGCATTCAGATTGTCGAGATCCGGGATAGCGGGGTGTGGCTGTGTTCAAATAATCCCCTTTCTCCCACCCTTAATTTACAGCTCTTGACCTTGACATTGACATTGCCCAGTGGCCACATCCCCCACCCACGGTACGAGTACAAGTGCGGTAATGGGTTGAGCCACATCATTTCGTTGCTGCACTCGCCACTTTCCTGTTATCAAAGCTTCCCGGTGTTTGGGTCACCTACGAGCACTTGGGCTGCAGCAGGCCGTGAGAACCATTGATCTATGAGATCACCCTGACGTATCACAATTTCTATCGTAGGGGGGCGGTGGTATGGTAAAGTATGGGAAGTGGGAAATTTGTTACCGTAGAGGTAAAAGTCTGGTTTCAACTTGCAAGTGCAGAAAAAGAGAAAAAAAAAGTCCAAGGTCTTGTCATGAGGAATCATGGGGGGAGCAGAGAAAGCCCTGTATGGTATCAAAATGGGGAAACATGGACCAAGAGGAGGAAAAATGTTCGAGGCAGTCGAAAATGCTTTTCTATCTTCCCCCCTTCCTGTGGTTAATTGGGCGTGATACGGTAGGACGGCAGCTGGAGTGGGATGGATTGGTTGGTTGGTCTTTGTTACCTTATCGCTCGCCCGCTCACTGCCGAGCTCTTCCACACAATAGTCTACCATTCCCGTACCGGCATCACACGGTACGGTAGCTCGAAGCAAGCACACTCCTTTTGTTTGAGGAGCAAGTGAAGTTGCACAACATGTAGAAATACCGCACCCACCTTCCACTACCACCTCCACACACACCCTTTTTGAATATCAAAAAGTGTGTTTCTTTGCACAAACATCCACCACCCAACACCTCTCAAAAAATGGGAATGAACGAATTGAGTTGGAGATACGGTGGTAGAGTTGTATTGATAGGATAGATAAGCCTTTCTTCCCAAACCTAACCTAACCAAACTTAATCAATGTCGCATAAGACTTCCATGTCAGCAATACATTACGGAGGGGGGGGTAGCTGTTTGAACTGTCAATTTCAACCCAAGGTATCATACAGCTAGACTATCAGAACCTCCTCGTCTTGAGTGAAAAGACGGATAAATGAACTCTACCTGAAAAGTCAATTGACACCACCACTTCCCACCCATCCCTATCTCCACCCCCCCCCCTGTTCCCCTGTTCCCCTTCCCCTTCCCCTTCCTCCGCCCCACCCCACACATTACTCCATACCTACCTGATGATATCTGTCTCCTCCTGCCCCGGGTACGAAAACATTGTGCACACGTTGAAGGGCGGAAGAGGAAACCACACGGCGCAACCGATTTTCGATGCAACGTGCAAAGCACAATTGGAAGAGAAAAAGTAATCGAAAAAGAAAAAAAAGGTACCGCAAATCTCTGATCCAGCGCAATAGATCTGATTCTCAGCGACCCGAGCTAGCCAGCGCCCCCCTTTGTCGAGTGGAGGTACAAGTATGTCTGTAGGTTTACTGTTCTCGTACTCACGCGTCTCCGCCAAGAATGCTTCCACTGGCCGAATGTTTGGTGAGGACTCCCTTGGCGAGGACGCATGAGCAGGTTGTGTGGTGTTTGATTTGTCAGAGTAGGGAAAGAACACTCTACTGGGTGTGTGTGTGTGGGAGAGAGAAAAGTTAAAAAGTTCGTTCGGACTTGCTATCATACTTTTTTTCTTTTCTTTTCTTTTCTTTTTTTTCCGCTCCTCTTGTTTGGTGTTCTCGGTAGGTTTCCGTTGCTTTGCCTTTTCTTGGGGAGGGGAGGGAGTGTTGTCGAGGATTGGTGGGTGGTATTTGTGGATGCTGATGGGGGTGCCAGTCGGGATGGGTGTACGCCCATCCTTTGTGCATGCGGCTTGATTGCATTGGCTTGGGTGTGGTTAAAGCAGTGTTGGCGGCGCCGTGGTTAAAGGGAGAGTGGGCAAAGAAAAGAAAAAAAGAAAAAAAAAAGATCAGGTCTCACAGTTCATTACTGTACTCAAGTATGATACTTCCTCGAGTAACGATACGGTACTTGTAAATTATCATGGCCGTGATCGGAAGTTAAGTGCGAAAGGCACGCTCACTATGCTCGTACATGTGGTGGAATGGTATTTATCAGAAGGCTTTTTGTGTATGATGAGAGGTTGTCTACCACTCCCGAGTGATAGCTGTGTTTGGGTAAGGGAGGAAAGGAAAGAGGAAAAAAGCGAGGATGGAGAGAAAGGGAGGGAGAAAGGAATACCGGAGTATAGATAGAAGATATATCGATTGAATTGAAATGCACGCACAAAGCACCGGTTGGATGTTGTAGTGGAGCACTTTGGGGGTGAGGTGGGAATAGTTCAATTGGGGAGGGAAGAAGGAGGTATGACTAATTAGCTTCTCTAGGGAAGAAAGAAGCACAGGCGTCACTGTAGCTCGAATGTTGGCACACTGTGGGCAAAGTCGTTCAGTTCTGCCCTACTCCGGGCTACTGTATGATGACACCAGTTTGCCTTGGTTTGAGTTGCGTTATCATACGTTGCGTCGCCGCCATCACCAGTTTACTTGTACGAGTATCGTACCATACATCCTAGCCTTCTAGAGGCTAGAGAAGCCTACTAGGGCGTGGCCGTCCTTCCTTCCTTCCCTTCCTTTTTTCCACTCCCCTCCTCCAACTCGTCGTCTACCTTTACTATCCCCTCCACTCTCGGAGCTTCTTCCACCACCATCACCATCACCATCCCCTCCCCCCCTACTCGTACTCCACTGACCTCCGCAATTCTCTCCACCCTCCTCCATTCCACATCCATCCCTGCTCTTGGAGTTTCCCCTCTGGTGTCATCATAGCTCTCCCATTCTTTATATAAACTGGAACCACCCCGTGGAGAAACACCTTCCCGCTCCCGTACGTTTGTCTTCAAGGCGTCCACCTCCTTCCAAACTGAAAGTCATTTTGTCAAACGGAGACTCCTTCATCCAATTACTCGTACCCCTGTCAATCAAATTTACCCACAAACGGACTCAGACCTCTCCAGCCACGGAATCTCACTCAACACGGTCAAAAAGCCTGTCAGAACCGTACCACGCATAAAAATTACCCTTCCCCCTGAGCAATTTCGAGGAAAAAGGAGGAAAATAAATAGAAATTCACCCATATAAATTCCACCGCCCCTCTCCTTTTACCAATACCCGAGTGTTCGGATCGGTGCTTCCCAAATTTCTTCTGTTGGCCTCATTAAGGAGTATCCGGAGTTGCAATCAGTCCTTTCCCGAGCTATCGGAAGATGCTACAAACAGCTAAATACAACCCTTCAGCCCTCGACCCACACTCGTCAACGCAAAGATCCTCATCAGCAGCACCAACAAGTTCCCGCCGGACTCGCCGAAGTGCACACTACGACTTCTTCAACCCCCAATACGAACTCTCCCAGCCCAAATCCACTCACAGCCGGTCACCAGGCTCCAGCACCAGCAGGTCAGGCAGAACCTCCCCGCAACGGGATCGCGACAACATGGTCTCTCCAACAACCCTCCCCCAGTCGTTTGGTGCACTCCGGGACTCTGTCAACACTCTCGGCATGCGAGTGCGCAATTCACCAGGCACCTCTCCAAGCTTCGGCTCCACCCCTCCCACCGGTGTTTTCGAACGCCTTTCTGGCCCAGTCCCGAATGCTCGCCAAGCATCGGAGGGCTCGTCGCTGCACAAAGCCGTGGAGGAACCAGCCCCGGGCGAGTCACGCTCTTCCACCCGTCGCCACCACCGCCGAAGGGCCACGAGCCAGGGTGGGTTGAAGGCGAGGGAGGCACAGGCCGAGGACATGATGTTCCCGGCAACAATGGAGAACTTGCACCACTGTGACGAGAAGCACTGCTCTAACCACCATCACCGGCAATCATCCTCCTCAACTATCTCCATCAAGTGTGATAAATCAGACGAAGATGAAGCAAGCGCCATAGAGCGACTCGCAAACGGAGAAACTGGAGCAACGATACACATGGATCCCTACGCTCTACAAATGCTCGTCCCGCTCGTCGACCGCCCACAGGAGATGCGTGAGTTGCTCGAGCGCGGCTCGAATAAGGCCTGGGCCAGCCTGGTTCGTCGAACTTTCGGTGAGAAGTTGTATAAAGCGCAATGTCTCCCGCTGTGGACAGAGACCGACCGCTGGACCATGCCGGACCGCGAGTGGCTGAGACGCACGAAGGACCTGCTCATGCGCAAGGCCTGTGGCGGATGTACCGATGGTCGTCTCTGGAGCGGGTTCTGTGCCATGGTCGGTTGGGACGAGAGCGAGATCGAGATGGAGGAGGGGCGGGCGAAGAATGGTCGCTCACATTGCTCCGGGGCTCGGTCGCGCTCGCATGATTCGAGTCCACAGATGAATGCGATTTTGGAGGTGGAGGATGAGGATGGGAGGAAGTATTATTAACTTGACTTCGTTTCAACTTCATTGAGTAAATCTAGGGTTTTCTTTCTTTCCTTCCTTTTTACAGATGAAACACGATGATATTTTATTAATTGACCTTTTCCTTCTTTCCCACCTTCGGTTTTGGCTGGTACTGTATTACTCGGTGGCTTTTTGTTTCCCGCTTGGTTTGCTTTTGCTTTTATTTCTGGTACATTATTAAGTTTAATCTGTATTACTATGACCACATCGTTCCTTTAACTTTACTTTTTTTTTTTTTCATTTTCATTTTCAATGCTCTTTTCTTTCCTTCAACCTCTCACTATTCCCACAAAAAGGAAGGATTCAAAATCGCTGGACAAGCGTGGTGTTGCGGCTCGGCTTAACTTATGGTGTAATGGATTTCTTTTCCTCCAACTTATCTCTTACTCTCCTTCTATCGTGTAAATCTAGCTGTACAATTAGAAACAAACCAAAGAACTGATGGACCAACAAAATTTCTTTCTTGCCCCCTCCTACTGCGGTCTGTGCATGGGTGCGTGGGTGTGTTGCTTATAACCGACCCGGATCGACGCCTGTGCGTGCAGGAAGGAGGAAAAAATACATGCTCGCTCCATCTAACTTGTCATATCTTGCAAAAAGTCTACATTTTTCCATATATATGCATGTACAAGTATGTTGTACCGGGTATGAAGGGTAAGTCTGTGTGTCGAACTTGCTCCGGTTAGCTCCAGTTCCTTTCTTGACCATTTAGCGGGCGGTATAATCTTAACCGTTACCCGCGCGATGAAATTGTACCGGTGACGAACAGGGGTTACGGTAGACTACCGGTATTTTGTAGGCAAAAAAAGGAGGAAATCGTCAAGGTAGGGTAACCCCTATTTGCCGCCCACAAAGTTTCATCTTATGATAATATTATGTTCATAATTATGATAGGTGAAGACTTGTATTTGATTCAGCCACAACGCCAAGTTGGACAGACTTTTTTTTTCCTCTTTCTCCCTCGCACCAAAAGTTACCGTATGGTACCGGTAGTTCCCATCTTCAGTTTCCATGATTATAGCACCAATTCGCGTTCACACACCAGGGTTGGACAAAGCCTTTTCGCCAACGAATGAATCAATGAAATGGGTTAGCCGGCCGGCCGGGTAAACCGGGGTCATGGGGTATCACTCTAGCCGTTTTATCATAACCGGATGTGTTGGGGATGTAATTCAGCTTTGCCAACTACCGTATATATCATACCGGTACTCGTCTGCGCATTAAGCGTCGGAACTTGTGGTGGGTTTCGGTGGGAGTATGATGGATACATACATACATACATTATCATACAACTTCACCGTGCTGGCTTTTATTATTTTAAAATGGTATCATTCCGGCCTATACTATCCGCCCACTCCACCCCGCCTGAGCTGGGCGGAACAGAATATAAGTGGAAAGTATCATACGCGTTACCGCTCTACCTGCCTACCGATTCTGCAACGCTGCTTGTGTCGTAGGAGTACTCGCTATCCCGGGGATATTCCCTCACTACCGGTCCGTCGCTGGACCGAGATTAAGATGGTTAGTTGGTCGGTTAGCCGTAGTGTGTTTATGTAGAGGGTCCCTTCGATCGTTTCCCGTTTCTCGGGGACCGGTAGTGTGTATACCACCACCTTTTCTTCCTCTTTTTTCATAGGGAATAAATCATGCGTGGTGATTGCGTTGTGTTGGTTTGTCAATTTCGCTGTCGGATTGTCTCCCTCTGCCCTTGATAGGTTTTTGTGTTGTTGGTTAGATGTGTTCATGAATTATCACTCGACTATGTGGGATTTTTGTACTGTGTTCGCTGATGTGAGCGATATGATGAACTTGTGAGAGAGGGTTGGTGTCGCATCGCTCGTTAGAACTAGTATGAACCATACCTGAGGGGGGGGGGTAGTGGGTTTGAATTGACGTCTCCTTCCCACCCTGTTTCCCCGGTTTGGAAGATGGTGCTTAATATCCTGGATAACCGGTACCGTACTCTCTCGCTGCTTTCTACCCATCTACCACTTTATAGCACCCCCCCCCTCGCCCTATTTACAGCCTCTCATGAACCTGGTTTGGTCGGTGCATATTATCGGAGGTCCATATGGAAGGAATAGGAGGAAGGTCAGGTCAGGTCAGGTCAGGTCAGGTCAGGAGGTTGTAATGATTTGTAGTATCAGATCGCCAGAGCAGCGCTCTCACTCGCTCCGTTCAAAAAAACTCAATCCGGTCCTGCTTTTTTGAGTCCCATTGTGTGTGTGTGGAGGGGGGGGGGGTGTCTTGTCTTTTCGAGAATTTTGCTTCCCCGATTTTTTCATCATGTTCCGGCTCGTCACGATTCAAGACATGTTTTTCAGTTCGTTGAAGAGCGGTATCGTATATGATAGTTGCTTAAAACGCCGTGTCCGAGGGCATCGCTCGAGCTATGGCATGCAATTGACCGACAAGTGAGAGAGTGATTTTCACTAACGGAAGGAGAGGACTTTGGCCATTCTAGATTTCAAGGCTGTAACATGTATGATACCGGGGCGAGCTCTCGTACTCACGGCATTTTATGGGACGGACTTTACTATAGTATTTATTTGCGGACACAATCGCTCGTAACGTACAGACGTTCCGGTGTGATATGATATCTTCGGAACTCCTTAATGCCATAAGTTTTTTTTTTTTGCTAAATGCGAACTGAGCCATAACCACCGTCACAACTAAAGACTACCGCACTACTGCACTGTGTCCGCCGGGTGTTATACATCGTGGGAATCCACCCTCTGCACCGTCAGGGTTGATCCCGGGAATATATCATACTCGGATAATTGAGCTTCCCGCAGTTTCGCGTTCGATTTTTCTATCTTAAGCTGGGTAGTCCCCACCCCCCTCCCTAAAACCGACGGAGGGGGTGTCTTGGACGTCCCAGTGTGAGGTTCTATTGCGATCCTTGTATCATCACATACCACGATTGGTGGTTTTTCTTTCTCCTGTCTGAGGTTTTGGATACGATAACCATGCTGATATTGTTGGATTGCTGAACGTTGAGTTGTTGTCGTAAGGGTGGGTACCGGTACAGTACATCCTTGATGGGAGGGAGTGGGGGATCATATAAAACAGTGCGTAGGTCTCGCAAAGTGCGCTACCTAGTACACTACATTAACATATCTTCCTATTGATCAATTTTTCCGCACCATGAAAACCGAGCCGGGAAGTAAGATGCCACCAAAAGAAAGTTTCCCAGCCAGCCCGGAAAACAAAGAAAAGAAAAAAGAACTAAAGCAGACTAAAATAAACTATTTCATATATACACAAAGTATACAAAACACCAATATCTTACATGAATCCCGCTTATTCAGTCCCGGATGAAGAAGGAGGAGGTGCATATCCAGTCCACTTTTTCCGCGCTTCACTTATCAAGGTCCGCACCTCCAGATACTCCGGCCGACTTGTTTCCTGGTCGATCTGCCTCGCCCGGAAGAGAGGATTAGCCCCCTGTTGTAGAAGCATCTCGACCATCTCTTTCTGGTTCGCACGCGCGGCGTTGCGTAGTGTGTCACCCTCGTCTTCGTCCACATCTGCTCCTGCCTCCAACAGCGCCTGGGCAATCCTAAGGTTCTCCTCATTCTTGACAATGTCGAATAGGTCCAGCCCGTATGCCTCGGCACCCGCGTCCAGCAGCATCATGACCATCTTTTCGTGACCGCCCAATGCTGCATTGTACAGCGGTGCCAGGTTCCCCTTCAGCCCGTTCCAGGCCGTCGCGTTCGCCCCAGCACCCAGAAGCATTTCAACGCTTTTCTCTGAGCCTCCCCTTGCAGCTTCTTCCAATGCCCGTTGAAGCGATTTATTGTCAACCTCTGCACCCTCGCTCAGGAGCATTTTGACGATCCGGTCGTGGCCGCCTGCTGCTGCCCTGATCAATGCCAGACCCCCCTCCGCACACGCGTCTGCTCCCCTATCGAGCAGCATTTCCACGATGCCCGCGTGGCCCCTTCCCGCAGCCTTAACTAAAGCCTCACCGTCCTTCTGGTATATATCCATCCCGCTGTCTAGCAGGGACTTGAAGATCCCTATGTGTCCACCCTCCGCCGCGAGCACTAATGTTTGCCCATCAATTGTGCGTATATCCATTCCCGCTTTGAGAAGCATCTTCGCAATCGTTTCATATCCGCTTTCTGTTGCTCTCAATAATGCGTCCCCTCTGCCAATATTGACGTCCGCGCCGTATTCTAGAAGCAGCTTCACAACTTCTTCACGTCCCCACCTGGCGGCTTTCTCCAGAGCCCAACCGTTATGGGCGTTTACATCTGCCTCTTTACTTAATAATAGCTTGATCACTTCCATATACCCCTTCTCGACTGCCCTCATTAGCGCTGCGCCGCCGCGTGAATTGATGTTTGCGCCCCGTTCCAAAAGGAGAGCGACCACCTTTTCATGTCCGAACCTAGCCGCCTCTACCAGAGCCTTGCCGCCTCGGACGTTGACAACGGCCTCTAGTGGTACCTGGCCACGCTGTTTATTGAAGTGCCCTTCGTTGTCTAGCATCATCCGTATGGCACCTTCTCGCCCTCGATAGCTGGCTACAATCAACATAGTTTCGATGGAGGTAATTTCGAGATCCAATAGGCCAAGCAGTGCCCGGAACATATCGGAGTAACCAAAACTAACGGCTGCTACCAATGGATTGTTTGGTTGACCCTTCAGATCATCGATGTGGGCTCCGAGAAGCAATTTTTTCCGTTCTGTGTATACCAAGCTCGTGATAGAGGTGCTGGCATGTTTCAACCACCTTTCGTAACGCCATTTGTGCTGTTTTTCGGGATTTAGAAACGTTTGTAGCGACTCCTTCACCTCCCCCGAATAAACACCGAGATTCTTGCAATTTTGAATGTGGGTGGGCCAGAACAAGGCGGCATATTTGAAAAACGGCGAAGTAATTCTGCGGCCCTCAGGAACGCGCTCACCCTCGCCGCCAACCCGGATATCGGGGCCACAGAGGAGCGAAAGGCAGACAGTTGTGGCCATGATACAATTATTGGTATCCCTTAACCCCTCTAGAGTCTCGAGGAATTCTCGAACCGATAGATGAGAAAAGCGCAAAACGTTCAGCTCGGTGTCGTGCACGATTAGGTTACGGCAAGTCCTGAGTAGTGCTGCAGCATTTGTCCCGGACTGTGGGCTGGAAGGACTCCAACCTTTGGCCCTGAGCTGCAATTCGATAGCTGAAGCCAGCTCCTCAGGAGTGAGGGGTCGAATGGAGCACATTAACCAGGCAAACGTCATTTTTGCTATCTCGGGACTGCTCCCTTCCTGCATATTTATCTGCTTGTAGATCTCGCGGTACATTTTGAAAAGTCCGCCTGGCAGCTTCCCCAGCTTCTCCCTTATATCGCTTTCTGTCTCGAGCCGGCAGAGATTTTCAATCTGTAACGCAACCCATTGAAACCTAAGCATGTATGAAATCAGCAAACGATTATACATGTCAGGGCAGAAGGGGGGGGGCGAATACATTCCATTGGCGCCGCCTACAAGTCTGGTATAAATTAGCTCTTTCAGCTCTAGACTCACATCACCTCGCAGTAGCTCCCTCTCTTCAATAGAACGATTGATTTTCTCTCTGACGAATTTTTTTATATCTCCCTCGTTGTCTTTAGCTTCAATGTGGTAGTTTGGGAATTTTTCAAGCTGGAGAGTTGTATCGTCGTTGGAACGACTGGAGACGAAAATCTTGACCAGGTTTTTCGAAGAGGCAACGATGTGATTGAGCGCCTCTAGAAGCTCTCTTCGAGCGTTTGTGTCACATTCATCCAATGCGTCGACGACTAGAATGGTCTGTTTATACAATTGACTGAATTCAACGATGAGGTTGCGGCTCTCAGTTGATGATAGGGGGTCGGAAAGCCTTCCTGATCGATTGCGCTTCTCGTATATTTCGACGAGAGGTTTCAAAAGATCAGGGTTGGTGGGTGACAGAGCTAGTTGTTTGACAAGTGTTTTCAAGACGACCTCACAGCTCCTCCGAGAACCTTCATTGCGATCAAAGTAAAAATAGGCCAAACCCTCGCTGGGATGTCGACTTTTTAAGAGTGAATCAACCACCTTTGATCTAACGTGGGATTAGTGGTGAATCAAACAAGAAGGGTGGGTATTTTAGGAATTATCACACTCACGTCAGTCTTGTCTTTCCTGCACCCGCTGTACCACCATAGATATGTTAAACAAGATATACAAAGAAGGAGCCTATTGAACGGGCAACCCACGAATCCCCCGTAATAACAGTACCATTGAAGCACTTGATGATCGCCAGCCTATGTACTCTTCCCTCTCGAGCAACCATTCTCCAGTACCGTCTAGGCGAGTCGTGCTGATGCGTTGGTGGTGGTGGTCGTATGGAACTGCAGATGTCCACTGCAAGATGGCTGCCCTTTCGGTTCCTAGTATTTTGCAGCATTGTTAGAAAAGGTGACGGGGCTTGGGTATGAGAGAGGTAAACAAACTTTCCAGTTTTGAGTATGTTCCGGGCATCGTTTCCTCGAATCTAGAAGTGGTGTCCGTTAGGTTGGCAAGAAAGCTGAGAACTCTGTGAAAGTGAACTTCAACGAAAAATCAGTATTAAGCAATTAATGGGAGATCAGTCCCAGCCAAGTAAACCTACGAAGTTCTTCATCGTCAAATGATTTTCGATCTGCGATACTATCAGCAAGACAAAATACTTCGTGGAAGAGACTTACTCACATGAAATTTCTAGAACATTTGCCTCCCTGCACATATCAGTTTCCAAGGACTCAATCTCATCAAGCAGAGCCCAAAGATCATTATTGCCGAAGGTGGTTCCAGTAGAACGTGCTGTAAAAAAATCAATCAATCAATAGGTCAGTCTCCTAAGTCCTGATAATTGACATCCCCTTAATAAGGTATTTCACCTGCCGTTGTCCGTGAGCAAATGTTCTTAGCCTGGACTAGAAATCTAAATATAGCAGTATAAAGCTTCAATAGGCTGCCCTCAAGGGCGGTAGAGGATATTTGCTTAGAATTGTTGGAATTTAGATGGATGGGGCTGCAAAGATCGGAGTTGAGATAGAGCTTCTCATAGATTGCGCAGCGGTCTATAAGAGATCCAATCTTTTCGAGGCCGATTAACACTATCCCCATCGTTCCGTTTGCCTTCACAATGGCCTGGATGATAGGGAAGGATAAATTAGCTGACTCGGAAGCCATGATATGGAGCGAATGGAAACCTTAGGTTTGGAACCTACCTGTAGCAGAAACCGAAATCCAACCCATGGCAATACCGCGTGGGCCGGGTCGTATTGCGAGACAATATCACCGATAGTCTTAAACTTGTCTATCCAAGTGATTATCCTGCTTACTACATCGTGAAGGAGCAAGTCCTTGGCCTTCCAATTGAACTTCGACCTCCTTTCGTAACATACACTCCGATACGTTTCAGCATCTGCGCGGGCATCCTCGAGAGCAGAATTCCGGTGCCCCGAGGATTCAGGAAAAGCTTCGCGTTCCTCCTGGGGAAGAGCACGGTATGCCGTGTCCCATAGCGAATTTTTCCGAATAGTGACGAGTTTCAGGTCAGGTGTCTCTTCTGGCACCGGAAAGCCAAATTTGGCGCTCCATAGGCCCGGTACTGAAATGCTCCCAGTTATGCTGGACGCCTGTGACATTGACTGGCGTAGAGTCTCAGCATAATGAGGCCTGGTTGTGTCGTCAGGCTTCCTATACCCCCCCTTGCCGCCGATAATATTGAAAATGCGATCTCGTCTACGCGATTTGCGGTGGAGATGTTCCGGGACCGACATAATTTCTGCGATTCAAGTCTGTGAAATACCTCAGTCGGGGTTTACAGGTGAAGGAGACTAAACCACAGCCTTTAGTATTGCAGGCGATACCCATTCCCCGTGCACTCGGCCTACCTGGACAAATCTGCCCGTTTCACCGCCTCTCTAAACTGCGTGGTACTCATAGATTGTTGGCAGGAACGAGGATTGCTCTGTACCGTAGTGGTGTCGAGTACTGCAAGATGATTGGGTTGCCCTGGGCTGGTTCAGGATTCACCTGCGGCAAAGAGACGAAAAAGGAAGAGGTGTCTTGAAGGCTGAAGCCGGGGTACAGGAGCGGTAGGATAACTCGCCCAAAGACCTGATGACGATGAATTCGCGACCGCCGGCGATCTATCATGCAAGGATAAGGTGAACGTATGATACTGCACCAGTGCCCATACAAGTACCTCGCAACCCGGGGTGTAGGACTTCAAAATCCGGCCAGAGTCTCTTCTTCTGCCAGCGGCCTTTTCTCGGTTTCGCAGTTTTGGAGAAATTTAGTCACTGGGCTAATCCACAGCCATAATCTTATTGAGGGGTAAGATTACCGGTAGTGTTCACGTTCTTCATTAATGAAGCCTACAAGCGCTTTGAATCAAGACTCAGCGTTGACATTACAGTACTGGTACTTGAGTAGACTGACCTTTTGAGAGGGAAAGTCGGTAGGGTCTCAGAAAGTCACGGGTTGCTTCGTAATACTGCATTACATACGGGCAAGCCCACAATCATCGCGATTCACCATTAAGGTGAAGCATGAGAATTACTGTAACTTGATCGAAAGCAATTGGCTCCATTCTACTCGCAGCTGTATCCTCTGTGCGAACCACAGCCCGAACACTGGAGCCCTGTGCTGCGATGTATCGATGCTCTGTACTGATCTCACAGTGTCGCTTTCTACCTGCACGAGTATTAGGCAGGCCTTGTGCAGGTCTGGCTGAAACTGCGGGGCGCGATTCGCGGTATGGAATTATCATCGGTACTCGAGTAAATTACTCATATTATTGCGAGCCTTCCACCGTCACCGTTAGAGAGAATGCAACTGGATTAGACTATTCCCACACCCTCCGCACGATCCCCACAACTATGATGCAGAAAGCCCACGAATCGCACTGGGGGAGAAGGCACTAGCATAAAAAAATGAAAATGAAAAAGGATTGCAAACCAAACCATCCAAGGCTATCCTATGATTCCTATCCTGCAACTGCGCACGCCCAATTGCCAGCAAATACTCACCAATTATTGAACCGTGTACTCGAGTAACGTCATCCTCAGCCTTAGCTAAATTTAAAGCGGGGTCAACACAGTCTTCCTAGCGCGACACCTATGAACCTCGCCCACAGACTTTTCAGGCTGGCTGGGCGGGACTAAGGCCGCCGTTTCTAGGGTACTGTACGAGTACCGGTACGAGTGTTCTAATACTCGTACTGGTATGATACATCGAACCCGGCACCGGCGGGCAGGTTACCTGTTTGGGGGCTGAACCGAAGGGTACAAGTATGAACGAAGGTGGAAAGGAAAAACCACGAGCCAAACGGGGGCGGCCGCTGATTGCTCTTGTGGTTTGCGGACTGGCTGGGCGGCAGACGAATAATGTCGGCCGATGGCAATGTCTCGGTTTGCGCCCGCCGTAATTTAAATTTACCGCGCCCGCGCACGGATCCACCAGGCGCGGGGCATACCATTTTTTAAAATTTCGAGTGATCACCGATGATGTTCCGGTACAGTACCGCACTGTGCAGATAAAGTGTGCGGCAAAAGTGAAATAAAGGGAGAAAGATACTGGTAAGTTATGATACAAATAAAGGTGCCAACACTAAAAAAAATCAGGACCCAGAGTGCCATAACAAAATCTTATTCGATACCACAGTTTTTTGCCAGAACATGCACTCAGTAGCCCGGGAATATCTCTGCACCTTATTCCGTTGTCCCGTGCATGCCCCAAAATTACTCAAGCTTGGACTACCCAAGACATTTTATGTCCGTCCCCAATACCAATACGGTACTGTACCATTGACAGCGTCCCAGGCTACTGTGTGATACCATACTTGATCGCCTGAACTCAAGTCACTTCCATATCTCCCCGCTGGCATGGTACTTGTAAAGCCACTGGAAACCTTCTTGTTTGGGTTTAGCCCCTCGTGGCCTGAGCTAGGACATCATCATGCCTGACACTGGGTCTCAGGTGCGGATGTCTCTCCCAGAACCACGGCTGTCCGAGACACTAGTCAGAATGAAGGAAAGAATCTGTTTCTCCCCCCTCGAAGGTGCCCCTGGTTTGGGTCGGGATGAGGTACTTGTATCATACGGTGTCATACTGTTACTTGAACTGTACCTGCCCAGACAACCCGGGTACAGTACTATAGCAAGACCACACCAAAACTATGTGAAAAATAAAGTAGAAAATGTTCATCCCGGTTTTGCACTTTCCATGCCAACCTCTTCCAGGCTATTATATACCGGTAAATACATCTATCTTGTTGAGATATACGTTGCGGGAGCCAGACTTGATGAGATGAGGACAGACGATGATTGATTGTTAAGGAACTTGTAAAGGATTGAAATCGGGGAAAGGAGGAGAAAAACGTGGGGGAGTGCATCCACAGGAAAAAGGTATGATATGCATACCGAACCGGAAGATATGATACTAGCCGACTTCGAGTCCCTAATCCGCATAAAAGAACCACCCCCGAGATTTTCAACACCTTTCTCTCGGCGGACGAGGTCTTCCCCCTTCCTACCCCGCGGACTTTGTGCCAACTGAAAAGTGGGTTGTTGTGTTCTGAAGGACAAGAAAAGTTGTTTTTGGCGGTGTCGTATCATATTGGCCGTTCACGAGTATACTGTATATCGGACCAGTTAGATTACTACTAGCTCTGGGGGGCAACTTAGTGCTAGTGAATGCATTTTTTTTTGGGGGGGGGTTTAAGAAGGCAAGAACCCGTCTGTCTGTCTCGCCGCTATCAGAAACTGGGCAAGGGGCATATGTGGCCCTCGGTAAAGCAATTTTCAAGAGGCCGGTGGTAGATAAAGCTGACAAAGAGGATATCGGTAGGGGATTTAGCCTTCAGTCGGGGGGTGGATGCACAATACGGTACACTGCTTTGGGCACCGCTATAGTAAAACCTTTGATATGTATCACCGATAGCCCAACATTGACCATTAACTGGTTTCAAGCAAGAACGCAACTTTTTTTCCATCTTATAACCAACCTAGCTTAAATGCACCTCAAAACGGCTATGATAACTAGTCGAGAAATGATTTGAGTACTCTAAATGTACGCTAGTAGTTTCTCTTTCTTTGGACTTAACGCTTACCATTGGTATTTCTAGGTAGGGGGGGATTATCCCGAGTGACGTTCCATGAACGCTACATTTCTTGTCTTTGGCAAACAACCAATGTGCTCCACCCGCCGCAGACCACATCTCTAACCACCTTCCCATGTCTACACACGCCTTCAATCTCCTTCCACTCCCCCCTCCACCTCCCCCCCGCCCTGCCAAGCTGTCCATTCTCCCCCCGGCCAATGCCCCATAATTTTCCGCCGGCCCAAGCAACAACATGCCCATCACCAACGCTAACCCCGTCAACCACTTCAAAATCCTGAGCAAGCTCCACCTCCCCTTCACCGGCCAAAATCTCACCGCTGGCCCCTCCCCAAACATACAGATCCCGCTCAACACTAACCGCGGCGGAGCACCACCCTCCGCTACCCACCCGGGCAATCGCAATTCCATCCAGCGCGTCCACAATCCCGGGAGCCCCCGCGGGTACTTCGGCCGTTGTTTCCCTGCCCAAGTACTCGTGTCGTGCATCGCCCCACGTAATCACTCTCCCACCGCATTCTCTAGTCAACACCACGAAGCCGCCCTCATTAGCGTGCAACCCTACCACACCACCCCCTGCGAGCGTCCACCGCTGCCGCGCATTCTTCAGCAGGAAGGCTGAGAAGGAGCGGTAGACCAGCACTTCGTCTCCCTGTACAGCTGCAACGACGCCGTTTCCCGCGATGGCGATGTGTGAGGTATCGTTTATTCCTTCGACCCGCTGACCGAAGCAGACTTGTTTTGTGCCGTAGTGCTGGAGGAGGTGGATTGCTTGTGTTATTGTTGTCACGCCTTTTAGACCTGTGTGGTCGCCGAAGGCTGAGGTTATTGGTGAGAGATGGGTTGATGGAATGGTTATCTGGGTGTTGGCGGAGGCGGCGCCGAGGAGGTGGAGACTGCCGTCTATTTCTACTGCTTTTTATTATTATTGCTCTTTGTCGGAGAGGAATGGTGTGAATGGGGGGCAGAGTTGGGAATGATGGAAGATAGAAAAGGGGGGGAATACGTAAAGTATCACTCCATCCGGTGAAAAGTACCCTTAGCGAATTACTTGCTGAAGCAATTATCTGCGGGATACGGATGTCTTCGGGAATCTCTGAGGGATTGGTTGACGGGGAGAGTTGTCCGTGGGCGTTGAAGCCGAAGGCGATTAGCTCCATTGAAAATAGGAGGGGGGGAACGTTGGTGATAGTTCGAGCTTTGGGGAGCCTCATCTCTTGGCGAGGAGGGAAGGAGGGAAGGAAGGGAGGAAAATCCCCAGGTCAAGCTTGCACTCTTGATGACCATCACCCCCCTCCAAACACCTGACCCTACGCCAAAGCACGTAAAATGCCTTCACCGCGTCGATCCAGCCATGAATACTCTACCACCACCAGTGCCACCACAAAACAAACACAGCCTTTACTAATGCTTTTACCTACCGACTGGGCGTCTTTCCTGACCGTCATGGCCGATACTCTCCGCCTCGCGCCAGAATCTCTCTCAATGGCATACGTCTACCTTCACCGCTATAATCGCTGGGCATCGGAAGAATCTTGTTCGCCGCTGGACGATCACGTACCCACTTCTATCCTATTTCATTTAGGTTGCTCCATCTCGACCCCTAGCTAACGAGATCCAAAGACACTGTGCCTCGCCTCCCTCTCCCTCTCCACAAAAGCCACTGAATCGCCCAGAAGACTTCGTGAGCTTCTTGTACCAGCATATGCTCATCTCCACCCATCTTCGCCGCCGCTGACTTTTCCCTCGCCCTTGTACGACTCGCTCAGGTCAACGGTTGTGGCTGCGGAGTTGCTGCTGCTTCGCGTACTGCGATTCGACTTGCGTGTTCCGTTGCCCTATGACTTTCTACCGAGGTTTCTTGAGAAGGTTTTACCTCCGGTAGCGACCCCCGGAGAGGAGGAGTGCGCGGAGACCAAGATTGTGGATATCTGTGAGACGGCACTCGGGAGGGAGGTTTGGAGTGTTGTTGGAAGGGTTATGACAAGCTATAAGATTTGTAACTTCTTTCCCGCTCGGAGTGTTGCGGCGGCTTGTTTGTTTCATGTGGCTTTGAAACGAGGGCTGAGGATCGGGGATGGTTCGGTGAAGGAGTGGGTGAAGAGGTTGACTGGGGGGAAAGTTGAACATGAGGATTTTGTGGAAGCTTTGGAGGAGATTGACAATTTGTGCGGTGCAAGTTCTCAGGTCCGGCATCAGGCCGGGAGGGAGACTTTACGAGTTGGGTGATTGCTTTGAATCACAGTTAATCGGCTATTCATCATCAGTTGGGTGCCCGTGTCTGGTGTTTGTATCCCAAACCCTTATTCACAATATTCTTAATGCACACGGGTTAAGGGAGAGTAAAATCTCGTTCTGCTTGCTATCCTCTATCTCTGCTTGTTAAAGTTGTATGTTCCCGATTCCACTAGCCCCCCCCCCCTAGATACACCGAAGTGAAACAAAGCAGCAATGAAAAGAAAAGAAGAAAAAGAACAGGGAAAATAAAGACCGAACTCCCGTGTCAAAAGCACTAGTTCACACTGACCTCGTACTCATCGTCATGGTCATCGAACACACTCGCGTGGCTGGTTACCCGCTTCAGTTGATTACTGACATATCCCAAGACCTCCTCATCATCCTTCTCCCTCTCTCTTTTCTGGTCTTCGGTTTCATCATCATCCTCAGCCCAATCGCTGCGAGCATCAATGCTCCTCGTACTAGCTCTGCGCCCCATGTAGGGCTTGGGCTTGGAAACCCTGCTAAAGATATCATCAAAGTAGTGGTTGGCTGCTGTGCGAGGTGTCCTTGGTGTCTGTGGTAATCTACAGTTAACGCCAGAGTCGTGAATCATCTTGGCAACCAATCCAGTCCACCCGGTTTGGTGGCTTGCCCCTAAGCCGGCGCCTGTGTCGGCATGGAAAAACTCATGGAACCAAAGATAGTCACGCCAATTGGGATCGAAGTCGAGCTTGTCGATACCAGCATTGCAGGCACGGCGGCGGTCGTCTCCACGAGCAAAGATGTGTTGAAGGCGATGCTGGAGCTCCTCAGCAACGTGGCCAAGATGCATGTAATCCCCAGAACCCGTGGGACATTCTACTTGGAAGGAATCTCCGTAGAACATGTAAAAGCGGAGAAGGGATTCAATAAGAAGGAAGTTGACACAAAGCCAGATAGGCTGCGTGCTAATTGTCAACTATATGCTAGATACCTAATTCGGGAGCGACTACTTACGCCACGCCAGTTGCTGTTACCACCAAATAGTGCACTATTTGAATCACCGGGAACATAATCAACCTTGAATTCCTGTTCATTAACGTTCATAGAATAGGGGTTTTCCTTATGGTATTTCGATAACCTATTTAACTTTGTTAGCCCTATTCAGCGTCTTGATGTAGGGATACCCTTACGATCGAATCCCATGATCACTGAAGAATTCATCCTCGTCTAACATCTTCTCCAAAATCCTCTTCAATCTGTCCTTGCTGACTAAACTCAACAGTATCCTCTCGCCTTGTCCTCTCTTTTTCATACTGGCGATGTTTCTCTCCGCAACATCATTACGCGTCTCAACAAACCAGTCCATACGCTTTTTGAAGCTCGGGAACTTGTTGATCAATTCGGGTTCTAGAGTCAATACAGCATATAGCGGGATAAGCCCAACAAGGGACTTAACAGGCATTTGCTGCGAGAATGGACCTCCCCATGAGATAGCATCATAGTAGAAGCTAGGATGAATGTCAGTTTATTGAGAACAGATACGGGGACCGAGCGGAAACAAACCCATCTTCCTCATTCCACAAACTTTCCTCTTTCCCACCATCCTTGTAGGTCATAGCATCACTAATGAAGATGAAGTGTTCGAAGAATTTACTTGCAATATCCTCGTAAATTCTCCGGTGCTTGGCTAGTTCGAGTGAAATATTGAGCATGCTTAGAGAATAAAACGCCATCCACCCAGTGGAATCAGCTTGCTCGAGAACACCTCCAGTGGGTAACGGCTCCGAGCGGTTAAAGATCCCGATGTTGTCCAGCCCCAGGAAACCGCCCTCGAAGACATTCTTACCATCAAAATCTTTCCGGTTAACCCACCTATGAAATCCTCCATCAGCTGTCACTCGTAAATTGCGGCCCCTGCCAACTTACCATGTGAAATTGAGGAGAAGCTTCTGGAAGACACGCTCAAGAAAGTCGAGATCCTCACGACCGTACATCTTCCGCTCAATCTTGAAAGTCCTGAAGACAGCCCAGGCATGGACCGGAGGATTGACGTCCCCAAAATTCCACTCATAGGCAGGGATCTAACGGAAAAATCTGTCAAATAACATGCTTCGCTATAGGGCATGCAATTCACTTACTTGGCCGTTGGGATGCATATACCATTCTCTAGTCAACAGATCCAACTGTTTTTTCGCAAAATCTGGGTCGACCATCGCCAACGGAATCGTATGGAACGCAGTATCCCATGCAGCAAAGAAAGGATATTCCCAACAATCAGGCATGCTAAGCACGTCATCTAGGTACATATGTCTCCAAGTTTGATTTCGAATCCCCTTTCTGCCAGGGGGTGGAGGTGGCTGCGATGGGTCTCCATTTGCCCACTGATCCCACACAAAGTGGTAGTGCTGCTTCGTCCATAACATCCCACTAAGCGCCTGTCGTTGAATGTTTCTAAGGTCATCGGCCATCGGCAACGGGGAAATACGCCAGTAGAATTCATCGGCTTCGGAGCGACGGCGCTCGATGATGTCGTCAAAAAGCTCTTCATCGATCCCGATCTCCGACTCACCGGGAGTGTATGAACGGCTTTCTACATTTCGAGAAAACTTGAAGCGGACGACTGCGCAGCCACCAGGAGGCACTCCGTCGCCTTCCTCAAATGCGTACCAAGCTGCAGCCTTGGTACCGGTGTTGGCAGGGTTAACCGCATCCTTCTCGTCGTCAACGATATACCTATGGAACGCATCCTTTACGTATGGTGTCTGGTTCTCGCCGCCATACAGGCATTTATAATTGGTATCGTTATCCGTAAACATAAGTTCCGGTAGTACGTCTGGAGATTCCGGAGTGACACCTGGTGAAGGTGAGAGTTGAAGGTAGCGATCTCCGAGCGCCCAATGCTTCGACCCGGCAATCAATGGACTTTTCTGTTTTATGTGTGGCTTCTTAGATTCATCCTCGTGGCCCCAAGCCCAAGTATTACGGAACCACATATGCGGGATAATGTGCAAAGGTGCAGGCTCGGGCCCACGATTCCAAGCCGTGACACGGAAAAGAAGCTCTTCCTCGTCGTTGGTATCCTTAGCAGTTTCGATGAAGATATCCCAATACCGATCATCCCTAACCCTGGATTAATGACAAACCCAAGGCAAACGTGGAAAAGGAGTCCGCATCATACTTGAAAATACCGGTGTCCATCAGAGTAAATTCCGGCACGTGTCGACTTCGCTTGCCATTCTCCTCCACCAATTGCTCATAGGGGAATTTTCGCTGAGGATACTTGTACAAATATTTCATATAGGAGTGGGTAGGTGTATTATCGAGATGGAAATGCGCTTCCTTGAGAGACTCCCCATGATTTCCCTGGGGATTCGAAAGGCCAAAGAGACGCTCTTTCAAGAAGTCGCTACAAGGTTTTAGCCATTAGGAGCAAACTACAGGCGTGGAAGCGCGTACTCATGCTCATTCCAGAACACAAAGGAGATATTCTGAAGGCCATGAGTGTCTGACACTCCTGCAATCCCGTCCTCACCCCAGCGGTAGGTGCGGGCTTTCGCATGGTCATGAGGAAAGTCTAACACGCGGGGTCAGCAAACGCTTAGGGTTAGGAAATTAATTTCAATGGCGTACGGCTCCATGCATCTCCGTTCTCGCTAGCAACCAAATCAGTCAACAACCGAGATCCGGAAGTAAAGGTTGGGGAATAACTCACGAGTAATCCTCACGAACAGTTCCCCATTGCCGCCTTCGTCATCACAACAGTTGTCAGCATTGGCCGTCTCATATATATGTGATGGAGAGTTGGTGCGGGAAACATTGAGAAAACTCACTCGCTGAGATAGGGACCCCATTTCTTCCAATACTTCCTCCGTTCCCTGTCTTCCTTCAATCTCCTCTCCTCCTGCGTAAGGTACTCGTGTTGGCCGTGTTTCACCATTTCTGGTTGACGGGATGAACGATAAAGTCGGAAGGTGAAGAGTAAGAGGCAGCGAGTGCCCGACGAGGGGCACAAAAAAATGTAAGAAGGAGGGGCAAAGAGGGGCCAGAAGATGTAGTGTTGGAATAACTGAATGAATAGTGGATGTAGTGGGGACTATATAGTGCATGCACAGGTTATGTGGAACTGAGAAGCAAACAATAGAGGGAATAGAGGGGTTTAGCCGCCCCGTGCCAAGTGATAATCGTACTGCCTATTCACCATGGTAACGCGGCTATTAATCTACAGGTGTCCATGTTTTGACGGGAGATGGGTCGATAGATCTCCCTGGATTGTACGATATGATAGCGAACTACGAGTACTCGTACAAATGAACCGCCAAACCGACATTGCCAGCCCACGGCGTTACGTCCAAGAGGCAAGCCAACTCCAACCGCCTGCTGTATCCAGGAGTACTAGCACATCTGGAAAGAGCCACCCTATTCGAGTATGGTGAACTGTGTTGACTGGAATAGCGCTCCAATCCGTGCTTACATAGGCAAACAGCTCATTTAAGTTAACATGAGTACCGTATATGATACCGGGAAATCCGCCACACTAAAATCACCATTCCCCAAAATCAATCTTCAAGCACGCTTACTCGAGTAGACTAAAATCAAAAGTCCGACGAGGCTTGACCTCTCACTCTCCACGGCTACATAACTGAGGATAACCCTGGTTTAGACTTGGTTTGCTAAATCCACCCCATTAACTTATCGCATTTTCTTGGGAACTGACGGCGACTCGTATGATAGCAAGAAATGCTGATAGCACGGGAAGGCCGGACCCCTCTAACGGCGCCTACCAGAGTTTCTTTTTCCCTTTTCCACCTGTAGACTGCTTGAGTACCGCTATTTCTCTCAGCAGCCCCCCCCCAGCCTAGTTCGAGAATTTAATGATACAGCAACCCACGCGGAAAACTCTATCCCAAACGCCATCCAATGCGCGCCCAAAACCAACCAAGATTATCACAATCCTGGAGACAGGGACAGTCGATATTTTATTCGATTTTTTCCGTTTCTCCGCCCGTGGTATCCAGGGACAGGAACCTGAGGCGTTTTCGCTAAAGGCAACTCTCACTTCCAGAGGGATTGATTCCAATACTGGTATGAATACCCAGGATTTATAGAGGGAGGAATATGCATGGGAAACATCGCCTGCGGACCCAATGCTCTGAAATGCTGTCTGGAGGTCTGGTGCGACTAGCAGAATCTTCTATTGGCAGGGGTTGATGCTTCCGGTGCTTCTGCATCTTCTGATGCTCCATGGTGTCTGATACGAGATACGGTATCTCCATTCCACCTGCAGAATTCTGCTGGATAACTGTAACCAAAAGCCTATCTATCCGTCCATCTGTCATTGGGTGCAATTTAGCATTCCTCAGTTAGGGTCTGTGCTCGATCATGACAGCAGTCAGTTTATCAATTCTTGTGAACAGACCTCTTCAAGCACCGTTCTTGAGCGCAGGCATGAGACGGAAGTCTAGACTAGGAAAGAGAGAGGGAGAAGAGCTCCTTGAGCAATGGATTAAGCTAATGAGACAACCCAACCCCCCACCCTCAGCTCGGGCAAAGATAGCGGATTAACGCACGAGCCAAGCTTAGATCGGCAACAACGGTTATTAAGTTACCCTTCGATAAGGGCAATCGCCATGACGTCATTCGGTGTCAACCTTTTCTTTCCTTTCTCCAACCCACGCTTTTGCAAGGAGTGGAACAATTGAACCTCGCACCAAGACGTCCAGAATTCCCCTCTTTGAATAAGCGGGGGAAATGCCCCCGGAAGAAACTGGCTTTCAGCTCTCTCCACTGAGGCTAATAAAAGGAAAAATACAACAGGCACTTGCAGGAGAGGCGACTCCCGCCCTAGTGTGAGGTTCGATTATGGATTCGCAGGGTAGCTAACGGTGTGATATGATACGCAATCTCCACTGTACCCACGATGAAACTGAGCCGGTGACCAAGGATAAATATCGTTGCAAGCAATTTTCTGTTACCCTGTTTTGACGATTTCCCCCTCGTGCCCCTCTGCCCACAGAATACCTCCCCCCCGCGATCTTCCGCTGTCGAGCTGAAATTTATCCCGTGCACCTCTTTTTCCCGCATACAAGCCACGATCAACGCACGTTTTGTATGGATGTAACTTGTACTGTGCACGCCTGTTGGCTGATTACCCGCAAGCTATGCACTCTAGCACCTTTTCTTCCAATTCGTTAAGCAGGAGGAGGGACCATGGGCCGAATGGGCCATTCGAACCCTCAATAGTGACATTTTCGGGGTCCGGGGTATCCATCATGTATGGTAGTTTGTTTTTTTCCTGGTTCGGTTGGAGGGTGAAAAAAATAAAAAATAAAAGAGGGGTCCTGTTGCTGAGGTAATTAACACCTGTAGAAGTAACGTCGGTGTTTGCTTTTAACCCTTATTAACCGCGATCATAGATTAGCACTCGGAGCCAGATTTTTCTGGCGAGGAGCTATTATACCATAATATTATCATAATACGATAGGATTATGCTTGGCTATTGGCCTCTGGTAGGTGCGATGTGTGTATGATACCGGCGGATAAGCGAAGCGAAGCAGAAGTTCTGTCCGCTAAGATACCACCCAGAGTGTTGACATCAGAACAACACAATGCCACGTGAGGATGAAGAGGAGTTAGTAGAGGACTCACTGTTTCCCATGCGGGAGCTTGGTGGATATATAAGCCCAATTGGTAGTTAAAAGGCATTGTATTGTTTGGCTGGAACGGTCGTGACTGTGGTTGTTTGTCTGTCATTTTCCTGTTATTTGGGTTTACCCTAATAGTGTGCGTATTTTCTCTATTAGTACTTAAGCGGGACCAAATCAGTCATGGACTACCTGTTAATACATCAACTCTCTCCTCAGAACAACTTTCTTCCCTTTACTACGAAGTATCATACCTGCTGTGTCTATTTGCTATCAAGTTATGAGTTGTGGGTGAGTAATAAGAAAATCTTTCTATTTTCTAAAAGGATTTCTGACCTCCTCCCTCCCCCTACCCGCTGACATAATCTCTTCCTTTATTACCTTGAAAACTTTCTGCCTCCTTTTCTCCAAAAATTTTTTTTAAGCTAAGATAAGTGAATAAGGCAGTTTATTACCATCAGTTGGGTATCAATAAGCATAAAGTGTACAACTTAACAAATACAACAAATTTGCTTTTCGTCATATAGTATAATACTTGCTAGGCTGATAGAATATCCTGTCATGATTCTAAAAAATATTTTTCATGTAAATTGAAGCTGGTATAGACTCAGAAAATCAAATTTTACAAATATGTCAAAATTTTTTGCATAGATTGATAGCTACAAATCCAAGCTATCTATAGGATATTTATGAGTCCAGGATGGTAGCAAAAGAAATCATTATTAAGGATTTTGTAGTTTTTGTCAAGTATTTCATCAATGTAACTATTTGTAATAACCTGTGGTAGAATCATATTATGCAACATTTCTTATCAAGATCTCACATATTATTATTACAACTTCCACTCACTGAAATTTAATCCTCTTAAAATAATAGTCTTTAGATGTCCTCCTGGATCTGCAAATAAGAAAAAGAAAACTGGTCTGAGTAACTCAATTAAAAGATAATAACTACTGTTCAAAAAATTCCTAGTCTTTTGAATAAATTAAATTAAAAGGTTTTTTGTCTTTTCTTTTTGTTACACATTTTAATACGAAATTCTATAGCTTTATTTATTACTTTCATGTCTTTCTCACTGTGGATGATGGTGTTATAGCTGAATTTAATTTAGAATTGTTTTTCCTTGTTTTCTCATTTCCCCCCTTACTGCCATGTAAACTTTAAACCCTTATTTTTCACACTTGTTAAAATACAACATGTACACGTTATTCTTATCAACACCTAGTTGAAATAAGCTTTCCAAAACTTAATTGAATCAACCATCATATATTGGCCATGCATAGAATAAATCTTTTCCACTATGATAGTCCATGAGATCTGACAATAAGAGAGGAGTTCAAAAGGCTGTTTAGACTTATCAGTTGGAAGTGACCCATTTAATTACTGTTACCTATAATAGTTTAATATGGAAAATCTCAATGTTACTCCACGATAAGGAGTAATAGTATAGAAGAGGTAAGTGGAAAACTTAAATACACTTTTTGTAACGATCCCTCTCTGGATAGTTAGTTCTTGATAACGGGAAATGATACTTCTCTTTCTGTCTTCTTCTTTCTTTGTCTTACAATAGCTCTAGGCTCCTGCCTATGTTACCGATAGTACAAGACCTTTGTCTTCTATCGAGAACGCCTATCGTAAGCTTTCTCTAACTCGTCTTCGTGAAGGACTTTTCTTGGCGTAACAATAACATTGCAATAAAGATAAAGATCGTAAAGATGTTTTATATTTGTTAAAGTAATAAGTAGGAAAAGTACTTAGAACAAAGCGTGAAGAACCTATCTTCCTCAGCCGTATCGACCTCCTTATATAGTATTCTTCCCACCCTTAGTCATGTGACCTAAAGTGGTCACATGTGCGAAACCAAATCATAACAAACTAGTCATGTGACCAAAGTGATCACATGCTCAAGACCCATGACCTCATAGTGAGATTATGTACAAAACTCATAAACCAATCATAACGCAATAAACAAGTCATATGACTCTACTGAGTCATATGTGCGAAACCCATGACCTCATAATGAGGTCATGTGCGAAACATAAATCATATGTGCAAGGCTTACCCGCAAGGCACACTCGCAAGGCATACTCGTCAGGCACACGTCCCATGACTCATACTTGAGCCATGTGCGAAAGCATCACAAATCCCACACATAACAAATCATATAACTCGAATAGGTCATATGCGCAAAACAATAACATACCTGTGACTCATAACCATATGTCACGTGAAAACCTTTTTCATGCTAAGCCACATTCGTGACACTTTTCCAATAAGAGTAAAAGATATAGAGAAGTAGATTTGACTGATAAAAACACTTCAGTGGCAGAGTCTGCTGATTTAATAAAAGTGGAAAGTATTATATTAGGAAAAGAAGTAGTTGAAGAGGTGGCACAAGAGACTTGTCTTTAACAATATTGAAATACT